AAATTATAAATTGGATTTTATTAATTTTATTGAGGATACTTTAAGAACTTCATTTTATAATTTAATTAATTATAAATATATATGATTATAACTGAAATATTACTGTATTAAAAGCTTACAGCAATACATAAAGCCTGTTAATGTATGATTCAAAGTTGTTGAGAATGTTATAGAAATGTATCATCAATTACTGAAAACATTCTAAAATGAACCAAATTACAGAATTAGTGTTTCAATTTTTGTTTTTGCTTTTTTTGAAAGATTTGAAGGGGCAAAATAAATTGCGTTCCCTTATACCTTACCTTTACTACAGTTTGACAAATATTTCAATATAGAATGAGCTGATGTACCATTTATTAAAAAAATAAAATAAAATCACTCTATAAGAAAAGATAACTTTACTTATTTGATTTTATTTTAAAAACACTTACATAATTTAAATCAATGACTTTTTGGTTCTCAAAAAATATTGGTTAATTTAAATCAATCTGTTTTAAATGAATGAATCCTATCAGTAGGTGGCTTAAATATATGGACCATATTGAGTTCCATGCAGTCCAAGCTACAAAACTCTTCCCGGCTTATTGAAATATTTTCCTTAATTTCACAAAACGTTTTTTTTTAAACTCTCATAAAATAAGTTTTTGGGTATTTTTAGAGACGAAATATTGATTGAGTTTTGCTCCTAATGTTAAAAATTTTTTCTTGATAGAATTTTAATTTGTAGATTTCAATTAAAATTCTCCCTATCTATATTTATTAATTATTTATAATTTTTTTGCAGCATTCTGAGAAACAGAGTAAAAGGGAAGAAGAAAGAAAAACTCATCTGAAAGAGCGTGCACAATTTCGCAGGCCAGCGAAATACAGACGGAAATAATCCGCTTAAAAATCATTTTAATGTAATTGTAAATAAAAGTTTTTATTTATGAGTCTGTTTACTCTTTAATTTATAGGCTAGGCATAGATTATAACTAATAAAGAGTTTCCGCAACCATAATCATTGGCTTTTTTAGTATATTTATTTTCCACAACCATAGTCATTAGCAACCATAATCTGTAACTTTTGATCTAAAGTACAAATTATCATGTACAGGTATGCAAATTTAATTGATCGAAGGTCTAAAGTTTAAACAGGCTAATTTGTGCAAGGCAAAGTTTGAATACATGAAGTCAAAACCAAATTTATCTGCATAATCTTTAAAATATGCAATCTGGAAAAATCTAATTTTCTGGAATAATAAAAGTAATTTAAAAAGGTGATCGATCAAAAGTTTGATCGCTTTTACGTTAATTTTAATTTTTGCATGTTTTTTAAAAATATCTAAGCGAATTTTAAAAAAAAATCTTCTCAATTGTAAAACTCATTATTCAAAGAAAATTCCATACAAAATAAAATAATTTTCCTTAATTATTTATGAATTTTTTATTTTTCAAATTAATAATCGTCTAAAATTCTAGAACTGTAAGGTATATAACTGTTTAGAAATTATTAAGAAACTTACAAAAATCTGAGCAAATTAAAAATTTAAACAAAATCGATGGAATGAAAATGTATATTTAAGACTTTTTGGAAATTTCGTTTCTTTTAAAATATGTAATCGATTGTGCTTAATGTTTACATCTCGCCATTTGACATTACGTAGTTGAAGATGAAATAAAATATTTTATTCCTTACCTAGAAAAACTTTTGTGTTTGGTTTTTGCTACTTACTGAATTTTCTTAATTTTAACTTTTTATTATCTGGGATGAAGGGGAAAAAAACAGAAGCTAATATTTTTGGAAATTTTCATAACAAATGACATGAATTTTTTTTTTTACCTTATTAAAATTTTTTGTTCTGCAAATACAAATGTGTAAGTAGAATAAATAAAAATTGCATTTTACTTTTGCAATTTCTGATTTTCAGAAACATCAAAAATTTTATGTGCATATCAAAACTGTCCCCGTCTTATAAAGAAATTTATGCAATGAAAAAAAAAATTCTGCATGTGTTTGACTCGTAAATTTCGTTTGTGTTAGTAAACGTCGTTATGGAAAAAGGCATGCAGTAGTTTGAATCGAAAAATAAATAGCCAAATGTAAATAAAAAATAAATGTAAATAGAGCAATATAATCACATAGAATAAATTTGGAATCCTTTATCTACTTAAGTGAAAGGCAGATGTTAGATTATTTTTTATTATTATTGGGAATTTGGGTCAAAAATAGACTTTTTTTTGGAAATTTTAACAACAAAATTCTTTTTCAAATATTTTTTTCTTTGTTAAAATATTGTTGTGTTTAACGAATGCAAATATGAAAGTAGTATGCAGAGTGATTGTGCTCCGGAAAAAATCCGGATTTTTCGCTAACCGCGATCCGAAAGTTTCCGGAAATCCTAAGTCCAGAAGTTTCAAGAAATCATCGTTCACATTTATATATAAAAATTTTTGTATATTTTATTTAAAGATATTAGAACTAGAATTTATACTTGGCATCTCTTTCATTTATAAGTATTTTTTCTGGTAGATTAATAAATGTGATTAGAGATAAAAGTAAATTTACACATAATTATTCATTTAAATTATGCTGTATATAATTCATTTAGAATATCATGTTTTGAAAATTTCAATTGTTTAAATTTATAAAGATATTAACTTTTTGAATGACTTTACTCAAGAAATTTTCAGGATTTTTGAGTTGGGCTCGCAATCACCCCTGAGTATGCATAAAACTTGTATTTTTACTTGCTCATATTAAAAGCACATATTCCAATTTCTGATTTTGTTCTTAAACTTTGTTGAATTCAAAATTGTTGTTCCCCTTTGACAGCAATAAAATCGCACTTTTCTTGTACAGAAATGTTGAATACAATAAAAAACAATTAGATCCGCTTATTTGCGCCAAAAAATATGAAAAATAAAAATTTTAAATTATATTCAGTGTGTTAGACCCAAGTTTCAATTGTGCCAGTAAAACGTGTATGTATTTAAAAACAGAGGTGAGCGGCTAATTTAATTGATCTTGAAATTAAAAGAAGGAAAGCTGCAATAAATATATATATATATGTATGTCAACATATATATACCGAACAGCCATAACAATGGGCTCGCTCAGGTTTTCATGGTTTCTCGCCCAGGAACAATGTTTTCATAGGGCACATTGGGACTCATAATCCTCATGGAACAATCCCTGACATCTTTAAGCTACTTGAACATAGTTGCAGACCAGGTTCACCCATTCATGGCAACAGTTTTTCCTGCAGGGGATGGTGTTTACCAACAGGATAATGCACCATGTCATAAGGGTCGAATCGTCATGGATTGGTTCGAGGAACATTCCAGTGACTTTCAAGTCATGTCTTGGCCCCCAAATTCACCTGACCTTAATCCAATAGAGCATTTGTGGTCCTACTTGGAAAACCAAATTCGTGCTGCCACGCTACCCCCTTCACAATGTGAGGGAATGGTACCAGATACCTCAGACTACCTATCAGCACCTTGTGGAATCAATGCCACGGCGGGTGCTAGCAGTTTTGAGGGCTAAAGGTGGTCCTACATGTTATTAGCAGGGTGGTCATAATGTAATGGCTCTTCGGTGTATCTATCTATACATGTACATGTATATAATATGCAATCAAGGGACCGAAATTTCGGTTCACTGTATCCGTACTGCAAACAATTATTGCTAACTTTTCCGAAGTGCTCCTATTTATCACATTATTTAAATAAATGACCAATCAAAAGAAGTACAAAGATGAATAAAAAACAATATGTAGTAGCAAAAAATGTGCTAACTTTTATTTTTTATTACTCTTCGTCTTGCGTTTAAAAGATTTAGCGATGGGAAACTGAGATAGAAGAAGCAAACAAGATAAAATGCTTATGGCTACATTCCACTCAATAGATGGTTTTAAAAATCGGTAAAAATTACAAAAAAATGAAGAAAAAAATCAGTCTTAAAACAGAAAAAAGTTCATAATATCCAATTTCCTCTCTTCTTTTTGTTCACTTCATCCAAAAAAAAAGAATATTATATATGTATAACAAGGCACGAGAACGAACATTTCGTTCACTATATCCGGGAGTTCACTATAAACCATGTTCACTATATCCGGAAGTTCATTATAACTGGGTTCGACTGTATATACATATGCTAAAAGCTATCAATTTTATTAAAGTCCAAAGAATGAGCCAGCATACAATCTCCTCACTCTTCAGGTAAAGTTCGCGCTTTATGAGGGCATCATTAATTAGAACGAAAGATGTTCCGACTTCGGACAGCGTGGAATTTGACAACGAGGCCTAGAACTTTATCCCAATACCATATCGTCATCACCGTCGCCGGTTAGTAGATTTTCAGATCAGTTAGATATCCCTATGAAATTCATGCCCATACCACGATGCTTTTTTTCCGTGTTAGTCGATGATTTTAGTTACCAGTAGTGTGTGGTTTGTTCCCTTTCAACACTTAAACGCTTGTTATTGGATTGCAGGCTAAACCTGGATTCATACGAGAACATGACGTTTCCCTATCAGACAATGTCCAATTCATATGCCGGTGGTATAACTTAAATCGTGCCCCTCAGGATTGTATAAATAGAAGAAATAAAACAAAATCGTGGTATCTAGGCTTCCAATTCTTTCATGTGTGGTCTTCATTGTACAATGATGGCTAATATCGTCCTACCAATGACCGCCTAAACTATAGATTTGAATCCTTATGTCTTTGGACAACCGTTTGTAGGGATAGTAGATATAGACAATGTTAACCTTCATCTATAAAAAGGTACCTCAACATAGAATCGAGTTAACATGTCTTATACACTAGTGAATTGGAATTGTATTTTTACAGTACTCCCCGAACCAGAATTATATCTGTGATAGAATTCGATAAACGGATGCCACTAATTGATTCATTGCTTTTTTGTGAGAAGCCGGGAGAGCTGTATTAAGATCACCGTACTTTTTAAATGCTTATCGTGAGAGTTGTATAAAATTCACGGTCGCTCCTGTGTTGCCATCAGCAGACGAGTGTATACAGGCCAAAATTGTGTGTGCTCGACACTGAGTAGCAAATGCACGAGGAGGTGGATAATGTCACTGTGACAATTAGCAAGTTAACTTTTCAATGTGGACTATCCATTGAAGTAGGCGTGTTCGAATCAAAGTGGGAGTTTCTGTCTAAGTAGATGTGTCCACATCACGTCACCAATGTGGGGATAGTAGCTATCGACAATATCAACATTCATCTAGGAAAAGATACCCCAACATAGAAACAAGTTAACATGCCTTATATACTAGTGAATTGGAATTGTATTTTTGTTGTGATCGACACACTACAGTCTCGCTTGGAAATGTTTCTATAATCGTAAAATGACGGAATGATGGGCGTTGAAGAAAAGAGAGCAACATATATGATAGACTGTCTTGCTTCAATAAGTTTGACAACAAGCCACACTCACGATTTTTCAGAAGGCGATATTTTGAAAACCATAGAAACAGGTCTAGACTAAGAATGAGAACAAATTGTAAGAATGTTCTAAACACCTTTTATCTGCACTTGAATCTTAAATGCACCTCCTGTAAACTTACAGGAAGTCAGTTTCTTTTATGTGCACAAAAACGTGTTAAAATTAGTATTACAGAAATTAGTATTTTTCTTTAGTGCTTAACTTAGAAAGTATCATCAGCAAAAATTAAGTCAGAAAAGTGTGCGCAGTAAGGATCGTACAATTAAATTTATGTTCGGAAAAAGCAAAAACTCTATCAAAAAGAAATTAAATCAAAAGCCAAGAAGGCGGAATGAAAAACAAAAGAACCAATTGGATTACCTGATGAAACTTGGAGATTTTCTAACACTAGCGCAGTGTGTTCCAAACTGTGGGGCGCGCCCCCCTAGGGGGGCGCGAGACTGTTGCAGGGGGGGCACGCAGCTGATTCCAAAATA